GTTTTAAACTCTGTCGGCGGGTGAAAGTCTGGTGAAATTGACTAAGTTTGGCCTAGGATCAGCTATTAAACAGGCTCCTCGTGAACCTACGTTATTATCCTTAACGTAAAAACTGCAGGCCTGGTCTAATGCCTTGATCAGCTGGTAACAAAATATTCAACAATAGCCCTCTTATGAAATATCTGAAGACAAATTCGAACCTTAAAGCACAATTTAACCATTGTCACTGAAGTAAACCATTTAAATCAGCTGGAATAAATCTTTCAATCAAACGTCGAATTTGAAAAACACAGAAAACTGTAACCAAAATATCCACCATCGTTTAGGCTACATTCCTAATGAAATATGACAAGTAAAATTTGAACTCTGACCTCCATTAATCCAAGTTGAATTTCGGGACTGGATTAATGGCCTCGAATCGTGATCAATCGACCACTTGGACTCGACATTTCTTTAAAATTCTACCGTTTAATCAACTTGGTACTCCAGTTTGGCAGCCAGCCGAATACTTAATAGTTCTAAATACACTCAACAGCCAAGACAAACAAGTTCAGCCATTAATTGGGTTATTTGCTCGGTCAATTACAGGATAGTTCAGCCATTAGATTGATCACTTTTCTCCAGATGAACATGATATCACGTGGTATTAACATGTGCATTATGTGAGTTTTTCAAACTTTGAACTTTGGATAGTTGATTTAAATCTATTTAAATTGACCATAGCAACAAAGTTCAAGAATAGATAGCACCATGGTTGATAGGATATAAGATATAGATAGCACCATGGTTGATAAGATATAAGATATAGATAGCACCATGGTTGATAGGATATAAGATATAGATAGCACCATTGTTGATAGGATATAAGATATAGATAGCACCATGGTTGATAGGATATAAGATATAGATATAAAATATCCCTGACTATTAACTGGAAGGTTGTCTGAAATACTGTCTATATTTTATTATATTTCTAAGACTGAAAAACGTCTCAATATTATCAATCAAAGTGAGAGGAAATACCACGAATAATTGCTGTAAGTTTGACATTTGCAGGAATTGATAGCACCGCTCAAGATAAGATACGATGTAAAACCCTGTCTAATGGCCAGATTTGCAGGATTCCATGGCATCGGAATCAATCAATGAAGCCATCAACAGAAAATACCTCGACTTTGTTTTTACTGAATGAAAATGACAAGTGGTAAACCTTATCACTGGAATGAATCTTAGACTACCAAAAACTACTCAGAATTATTTTTATGTTGAAGGTAAAGGGTCTGGGCACCTGTTCATTAAGTTTCATACTTAAATTACTATCAATAACTATAATATAAAGACTTGTTTTAGTGTTGAAGACAGAGAGAGTAACGGCATCATTTCTCAAAAGATTTTACTATAAGAATACCATACAAGTATTCACTACCAAAGCATTGTTGTTGAAGGTGAAAGGGTTAATTGTAAGGAGCCCCTGCCTCTAGCCATTCAACGAAGCGTTGTCAACCCTAGCCGCTTAAAGATGTAGTTTAATACAATAGTTAAATAAATAATATTATTATCAAGTGTTCATTCTATTATTCTTGTATTAATAGATAATAGTCTACTATCGTCCTAGGGGAGACAAGTACCAAATACTTCTTACAGATTTCACAGTCGTGTACAATGAGGCAAATTTTATAAAGACATCATGACCAGCTGACTTTTTCTCTTTTGGTTTCCTAGAGCAGGCCAGAACCAAGTAAATTATACAATTATACTATTTTTCTGAGAGAATTCCCAGTCGTGTACAGTGAGGGAAATTTCACGAAGACATCATGACCAGTGTTTGGTTTCTTGTAGGAGACAAGAACCACATGACAGTGTACACAATAGGAGAAATTCAAGGCGGCTATGTGGACTAATTGGCCTGTCAAGCGGCTAAATCACATCTTTTAATGAGCCACATATTTTTAGATCAGCTACTCTCCTAGACACACTCTTTGACTCTTCTTTTCAACTTAACTTTGAAGTAAAGAACTTGTCTTCGCCCCGAGGGTTTATACATTTAATTGTATTCATTAGGTTTATATAAACAATTAACTGTGGTCCGAGTCTCACATTAAGTGAAAGAGTTCATTTCCTTGAAATAACATTGTCTTATCTGAATGTAAACAGAATCACAAATGTATTTACAAATTTCTGACAATCATGGCTCGGCAAGTCTCCAGAATAGAAACAAGATCGGTAGCTAAGTAACCAATTAATGAAACACTTGGCAGGCAACACCTTTAATAGACTAGATCAACAAGTTGTAAATTTGTAACGTGATATACAACTGTGGATATGTCTGGATAACGTCGTCACTTTTATTGGGACACATTTAATAGACTCGATCATCATGTTGTAAACATAGCTTGATATGCAACTGTAGATGCGCCTGGATAACGTCGTCATTTTTATTGAATTGAGTGATAGGAACATCATTAATAGACTTGATCAACAAGAAATAAATTTGTAACACGATCTACAACGTCTGGATAACGTCGTGAGTTTTATTGGCGCGCTTGATTGGAACCATACGACCATTACTGATTTTCAACACTGAAGAGTAAATTAGGGGAGATAATAAAGTACTTCCTGTCAATGTAAAGTAGCCAATCGTGCTACTTAAGTAGTGTATTTTCCACCTGGGGACGGTAATTACCTTCACCTGGCCATCGTTTTATTTTCCCTACTTCACACTGATTAGATTATTTTATTTTATTCGCTCTGAGTTTCTATTATTTTCTTTCTATAATCAGATTTCACCAATTAGTTTCACTGGTCGAATTTAGTTTGTGTATCTAACCTCGGGGCAACCTTCTGGACTGCTAAATGGATAGTACATTGAAATGAAAGAGTTTTTCGTTCAACTTTCCTGCATTATTTGGGCTTATGAAGACGGATGCACCATGCAGTGTGAAATGAGGGAAATTAGCCTGCTCTTCTTCCATGTTTTACTGTCGGGAGATCTTTAACGTGCACAGTCTGTTGCACACGGTTTATTGTCCTATCCAAATTATATAAACACTGTTTCCAAGCCAGTCCTTCTGATCTGCATCACTGAGAGGGGGACAACGGGTTGAAAACAGGGTATTATCTCGACTTATACCAGAACTTTAAAATCACTTGGCATGATGAATTGTATAACCTCGGTACGAAGTGACCTGCTACAGTGAAACAGGGTGTAATAATATCGGATGATTATGGCGTAATATACTGGCCTTTGTAAATGATAAAAAACCCAAATATGAGATTTATTCATCGAGATTAATCAAATATTGTCATAAATTTTGTCTCTTGAGAACCGAATTCCACGTGACCTATTCATGATGCCTTTTGTTAATTCATTTGCTTTCAGAAGACTTCAATTATTTCATAATCCATTTTGTCCTCAATAAATAAATTTCTGCGTTGCCTTTTCTATTTTATAATGAGTTAGAAATAAAATAATTTTATAAAATTGAGAAATGGGAAACTAAGCTCAGAGTTGTAGAAATTTTAAAAACAATTTTACTTTATTATAGAAATGTTCTTTGTATTTTACTATTAGAACTCTGATTCTGTCTACTGTTACAATAAAAACTTTTAAACCTTTAGTCACGACCACTGGCGACTCAGAGGGCGTTCGATTCATGTTCCATAGATTAAAGGACTTGATCTATAAAATAATTATATCATTGGATTGTGGATTGTAAAAGTTTTTTCTTGTAGTACATGGATAAAAGTAAGATCGTCCTACTATCTTGGTGTCGATATTGTAAACCAGCTATGTAATATTAGTAATAATGACTCTATGGAATGGATGCTAAGTAAACAAACCCATTTGCAAACTGTCCTCAGGTGTTCTAGAAAAGTGAGCACAAACTAACGATGAAACATGGTGGGTGAAAGTAAAGGTGAATTTTATGAACGTCTCCGGACTAAAAGTTTTCAGCTCAAAACCTCGTCAGCCAACCTAGAGGATGTACAGCAACTTGATATAATTGTGAAGGCGTGAATCCCAGATAAACAAGAGATGAATTATATCAGTAAATATTTGGCCCGGATCATTTTATTACATGGTACCACGTCTTTAAAACATGTTTAGCGTATTCCACATTTCTACATGGTACCACCCCTTTAAATTGTGACACTAAGCCTCTAATTAGTCACGTGACAATCAGATTAATTAAACACATTTAGTAATTCTAATCAAAAGTGAAAATCTATCCGGAATCTTGAAACCTCTCTGGGGAATTAATATCGATACAAACTAAAGCTTAAAGGGATTGTTTCCCTAAACTTCAATCGACGCTAAAGGCATATATCTATGGGCGTTAGGAATACTGACGTCATAAAACGCGAAGTTTTAGTGGAATTACAAGAACCACAGACAAACGTTGGAATGGTGTAAATTGATGCTGTCAGTGTCCCTGATACACATACAACGTTTAGAAACTTCTCTACAACCCCTTTAAGCAACAGTTAAATGCAAAAGCTGTCTTTTAGTGGAATTGCAGGAACCACCGACGTCTGATTGAAAATTAGAATGGTGTAAATTGATGCTATCAGTGTCCCTGATACACATACAAATTGATAAACCTCTTACAATCCCTTTAATAGATGATATTTATCTGTATTCTGACATGAACAAACTTTATTTAGTCTTATCTTTTGTGCAGATCGAATCTGCTGAGCCTATTTATTGTATTCATCCATTAGCATGGCGTCGTCAAATGGAGTTTTCTCGTATCGGCTCTAATTTCCAGATATTTGTCGATGATTTCCAGTAAAATGAATGTTTTGTTAAAATTTATCACCGAATTTAAAATATTATGTTTACATTCTTCGGAGTTTATCGCCATACTTAAATCTATCTGCCGTGTATTAAGGTATTCTCTCCCATAATTTACAATTTTTAGAATTCTTCAATAATCTAAATACTTAATATAAAACTTGAAATGAAAGTGATAATTGTTTGCTTTGTGAACAAAAATATTTAAAGAGATTGTAAAGAGATTGTAAAGAGATTGTAAAGAGATTGTATAGAGATTGTATAGAGATTGTAAAGAGATTGTAAAGAGATTGTAAAGAGATTGTAAAGAGATTGTAAAGAAATTGTAAAGAGATTGTAAAGCGATTGTAAAGAGATTGTAAAGAGATTGTAAAGAGATTGTAAAGAGATTTTCTTATTTTTTATGTGTATCGAGGACACTGATATCATCAATTTACATCATTCTAATTTTCAATCAGACGTCGGTGGTTCCTGCTATTCCACTTAAACTAAACGTTAACTTATAAATTCTAAGAGCCTTTATGAAATGGGCGTCATTATCGTTTTTTACAGCCCTTTATTATTCAATTCAGCATCTCAGAGCAAAGCCTCATCAAGAAAACACTGTAGCCCAATTTCTCCAAGAGACCAGTCGCCCATTATATAGTCATATCAAGAGCCAAACAAACCATGATCAGATTAGAGGAGAATATACCTTTAAAATATCATATATCGTATGATTTATTACAGTAATCGTCAGATACACGATTTTATACATCATATTTATTTCTTTTATATTTAATCCACCTCGTTAATCATCTATCAGATATTTTAATACAATATTTGGTCGACTAATTGTAAACTGTTTCTTCAATCTGTAACAGGACAATAGGACGTAAAACTTCATTTCATTTCAGACATTCAAGTCGGTCAGTATCAGAACCAACCAGTGTCATTTAAACCACGTCCCCTTTTCAATAATCAGATTGGACCTTTGTTCACTTTATCCAAATAGCTTTCTTTGACGGTGTGAATTTTAAACAACCAAAAGGACGCTTTTCATAGAGAGAGTTTGTTTGTGTACAATTTATTCATGAATTTCATGTGTTCACATTTACAAAACAAACCGTATAATTGGTTTTGTTAAGGTTCCTGATTGGCCGGTTTGAAAATCATGTGACGTGATGAATATCAATTAGGCATAACTGTGTCCCTAAAACGATATAATAATATATAATATGTAATCTGACGTGTTGAAGAGATGGTAACATATATAATATATCGATATATAACTCAGTTTTTTAATCAGATGGTAAAATAATGATCTAAAAGTAAAAAGTAAACAAGATGAGTCAATAAAACTAGAAACAGCCTGATCGAGTCAATATTGAAATACACAAAATAAACAGTAACATACATTATTTTATAAAGCTACTGGTTTAGAGAGATCGTCAGGACTTTAAATCAAAAACTTCTTCCATTGGCTCCCACATCCCTTCGTGCCCCTTCGTACCCTATTCAACATTAAGACGCCCCTGGCACCCTCATCTCTCAAGGCAAAGTAAAAGGAGTCAAAATGGATTATCAAGTCATGAACTGTTCAATAATAAATGGACGGGAGGTCGAAATAAATTGCTGGTAGTAATATAACAAACATACTGTTAATTTTCAGGTAACTCCCGGCAAGGTGTTGGCAATTTAAACCCACGACCACTATGACTTGGTACCCCTAAAACAACAGCTATCACAGGCCTCTCTAGAAACCAAGAACGACAACTCTAGTCAGATATAGATCGTTAAATTGATCAGATCTGTAGGAACCAATAATGTTAGTTTATTTACGAAACTTTCTCTAAATAAACCAGAACTAGTCAATATTGATAATTAAATCTAAAATAAATAACACAATATTTAAAATACACAAAACACAGGTCGTGATTAGATATTATAGATATTAATATTCAAATCTAGACTCGCAAATAAAACACAAACCAAATATAGGCCAATTATATTCGATTTTCAACTGTCTCTTTAACGTGCACAACCTGTAACATCGTTTCATCGTCCCATCCGACCTAGACACTTTTACCATGCCAGGTTATATACAATCCAATCAAATCACCATGATACAAGAAAGGTGGCTATTGCAGTCAAGGTATAAGATACAGTTTGTTATAGCTTGACATTGTGAAGATGTGATAGAAGAAAGGTGGCTATTACAGTCAAAGTATTAGTATGAAGTTTGTTATAGCTTGACATTGTGAAGATGTGATAGAAGGAAGGTGATTATTGTTGTCAAGGTATAAGACACAATTCGTTATAGTTTGATACTGTGAAGATGACGTGATATATAATACCGAGTTTAATGTTATCTGATCTTTCGATAAAGACTTACCAATTCACTGAAATCAAAGATCAGATTTCAGCAGCGACAAAAACCAATCAAAACGTCTGCCTTTGTCAAAATTAATGAAATTTGAACCGGCAGACGTGATGGCTGGTGAATTACGCGCCATAACGGAACTGACGTCATCAATGTAAACAATCTAATTAGCACTATAGAAAATAAATGAGTCTAAATTGGCTTTGTTTATTTTTATATATTTGACGCCTAATAGACCAATTAAATTCTGGCTTTTAGCGAGTGTAGTCGAAAATCTTGACGAGTGGGAGGCAAATTTCAGATCAATCTTAATAATAATATACAAAGATATTAAGATAGAAATATAAATCAAAGAATCAGTTTAATTTACACGACAGTAAGAAAACTAAAAGGTTTTGGTGGGGTGGGGCACTATTTCTTTAATTATTTGTGATTTTAGTCTATATAGAGTTTCGACTGTATAATCATTGTTTTAGATATAGCCGGGCTATATTTTGGAAGACAGTTTACCTAGAGTTTGGACTGGAAGTCTAAGCTATGCGACTGTTTTAGATTTAGCTGAGTTATATTTTGGAAGACAGTTTACCTAGAGTTTGGACTGGAAGTCTAAGCTATGCGACTGTTTAAGATTTAGCTGAGTTATATTTTGGAAGACAGTTTACCTAGAGTTTGGACTGGAAGTCTAAGCTATGCGACTGTTTTAGATTTAGCTGAGTTATATTTTGGAAGACAGTTTACCTAGAGTTTGGACTGGAAGTCTAAGCTATGCGACTGTTTAAGATTTAGCTGAGTTATATTTTGGAAGACAGTTTACCTAGAGTTTGGACTGGAAGTCTAAGCTATGCGACTGTTTAAGATTTAGCTGAGTTATATTTTGGAAGACAGTTTACCTAGAGTTTGGACTGGAAGTCTAAGTTATGCGACTGTTTAAGATTTAGCTGAGTTATATTTTGGAAGACAGTTTAACTAGAGTTTGGACTGGAAGTCTAAGCTATGCGACTGTTTTAGATTTAGCTGAGTTATATTTTGGAAGACAGTTTACCTAGAGTTTGGACTGGAAGTCTAAGCTATGCGGCTGTTTAAGATTTAGCTGAGTTATATTTTGGAAGACAGTTTACCTAGAGTTTCGACAGTAAACCTAGGTGAAAGGTTTATACATCAATTTGGAATAAAAACGGTAAAATTATTGACGGGTTTACAAAATAAATATTAGTTTAAACTTCAGGTATTATAATTTATTTTATTCTGAATATAATTCCTGCTTTAATTTCCTTGTTTTAAAAATAATAAGCCACTTTGGATATTAGGCCAGTCGTCACTGTGATCGAATGAATAAATGGACAAATGAATAAATGATCAAATGAATGAATGATAATCGAATGAATGATCAAATGAGTGATCAAAAGAATGAATGATCAAATGAATGAATGAATGATCGAATGAATAAATGATCAAATGAATGAATGAACGATCAATTGAATGATCAAATGAATGAATGATCAAATGAATGAATGATCAAATGAATGAATGATCAAATGAATGAACGACAGAATGAATGAATTGTCACGTTAACGTCACTTAATGTCAATTATGATTGTAAATCGTCTGGAGTGGAGTGACTTTAATGTATAATATTATTAAAACTAATCAGAAAGATGGAAAAGAAAACAGAATAAAATAGAAAGCAATGAAAATACACCGGAATAATAATTTCTAACATTCAGGAGAATTTCCGGAAAACGGAAACAATTTGTCGATTAATGGATTGGATCGTTTATAAACAAGATCGTAGAATCTGTAACTGTTGGTATTATTTTATTATTCTCTCAATATTATCAGTAGATTTGAGTTGAAGTATTAAATATAGCTACAATATACTCATTGTTCCAAAACACACCCTACCACTCTGCAACTGAATCTGGTTAGTGTAGTTCAACAAAACATTCTTATCATACCCTTCTTAAATACACTTAATGAATGAATGAATGATTGAAAGAATAAATGAATGAATGAACAATATATAACTTAGTGAATGAATGACTGAATAAATGATTGATTGAATGGTTGAATGCACGACTGAATGAATGAATGAATAAATGAATGAAGACACCAAACATCTACTTTCTACACTAAAAATATGATAACACGGTACCACCAAGTGTGTGTAGGTTGTAGAGAAAATAGTGCTGGATATCAGTCGAGAGAAAGAGACAACTGAAGGAAAGAATGAGAATAACAATGAATGAATGAATAAGAAATACTCCATCTTGGTACCGTCAAGTTTGTGTAAGATAGATAACTATCAGGAGAAATATCAGAAAAGAACCGTAAATAAATCACTGGTAGAATTAGATTTACTGACAGTTTATAGTTCTGTATCATAACATATTACTTTTATCATATCTTCTCGGCATCGCGGGTAGGGTGACTATAGTTGAGGGTAGGTTGACTATAGTTAGGGGTAGAATGACTATAATTGAGGGTAGGGTCAGTATAGTTAAGGGTAGGGTGACTATAGTTAAGGGTAGGTTGACTATAGTTAGGGGTAGGGTGACTATAGTTAGGGGTAGGGTGACTATAGTTAGGGGTAGGGTGACTATAGTTAGGGGTAGGATGACTAAAGTTAGGGGTAGGGTGACTATAGTTAGGGGTAGGGTGACTATAGTTAGGGGTAGGGTGACTATAGTTAGGGGTAGGGTGACTATAGTTAGGGGTAGGGGTAGGGTGACTATAGTTAGGGGTAGGGTGACTATAGTTAGGGGTAGGGTGACTATAGTTAAGGGCAGGGTGACTACACAGAGAGAGCCTCTGGATTTCAATATACATGTACAATATACACAGAGACAGACAGACAGACAGATAGAGAGAGACAGAGAGAGAGAGACAGAGAGAGAGAGACAGAGAGACAGAGAGAGAGAGAGACAGATAGAGAGAGACAGAGAGAGAGAGACAGATAGAGAGAGACAGATAGAGAGAGACAGACAGAGAGATAGAGAGAGACAGACAGAGAGAGAGAGACAGAGAGAGAGAGAGACAGAGAGAGAGAGACAGATAGAGAGAGACAGAGACATAGACAGAACACTTGATGCTGGTAAGACAGATAGGAATCCACAGATAACCCTAGCTCTATCTGGAGCCGAGTGTATCTAGTTTAGACAAACTCAAGGGAGAGTGGATAATTTAGGAAAGAGACGAGGTATCATTTCAATTAGCCCGACAAATCAGAAAATATATTGATGTCGGTTAGAATGATACGGATCCAAAGATAACCCTAGACTATCTCATACAGACAACCCCGAGAGAAGGTAGAAACTCGAGGGCAAAAAGGTTTCTTGTATTCGTCTCTTTCAATCTTTTACAGACGTCAGGGGCGATAACCCAAGTCGAAAGGTACAGACAAAGCCATGGATGATGAGCCACAGAATAGAGCCTTTGAGACTTGAATAATTAGTCGTAAAAACTGGACAAGTTAACTTTGGGTATTTCTAAAATAACAATTAATGTTTTTTTAAATCTAGCTAACATTATTGAAACTTACATAATATATCCTTTTTCATTCCAGGTTTTTAAAATCTAGCTCGCCGACATCTGCGGAAAATTGGACATTAAGTTAAAGCCAATATGTTTCAGATAAACTTAAGGCATGCTTAAACAGGATAATAACAGTCTAGCTAACCGACATCATTACAGATAGCATGCTATCTTGAAACAACCATTAAATCTGAAGACAGATTACAACTTAATATATCACACTGGAAATAAGAGACTTCGATTAGAACTTTATCTCTTGATCTTCCAGACGGTTTTAATCCTGAAAGTTCTCAGTTCAGATTTAAACATTATCATGTTAAAACGGGTCATAGAATTTGTTTTTTTTTTATCTGACATGATTGTGTCTGGTTTTAAAACCATCTTATGAAACAAAACATAATCATTTGCTTCCCCTTCAAGAAAAGTCGCAATTGTCTTAGCAAAATTTACTTATTGCACACTGTATCGCGTTTATCAATCTTCTTCAGCTCATACGGTGTAACAATCAAATAGCCCAGTCAAATTTAGTAGGCCTAATTCGATTACAGCAAATCATTTCACTAGATATCATGAACTGTATGACCCCACCCCCACCACACACACTCCCATGGGAAAAATTGACGAAACTATACTGGCAAAATTTACTTATTGCCCACTGCATAGCTTGTCTTCAACACGTACAGCGCAACACAAAAATAACCTGTTTCATTTATTCAGGGTTAATGGTAATCGTTTGAAGGAAACAATATAGAAATTAAAGTAATAGTTTAACCAATAAAACAAAGAACGTCAATCGATGGCAGAATTTCCTGATACTAAATACAGACTATAATGGAATTAGCTAACAAAAAAATATATTGAGTGTCATAAATGGCGATAGACTTGTTGATGGGACTATAAAACTAATATGAAAAAGGCTATAAAATACAGTGGATCAACTCCCGGTAATCTAATAAACTTTTATTGAACAGACTATACAAATATTACTCTATAGCTATCAACTGTTTAATGATTTCCGACAAACGAGGTATGGCGTAAACTATCCGAAACCAAATCAGGATGGATAGAAGTACTGGGTGTTTTTTGAGGACGAGGGTCGCCAGATTTTGATAACAACTTTGGTTCTATAATACGACTGTTGATGATGACCATGGGGAGAATTGATAAATGAATTAATGATGATTGATGATGATGGTGATTGAGGATCAATGATGATTGCTTGATGATGACGATAATGAAGGCAATGTGTTGATAGCATTGACGAAGATCATGGAGAGAGATGATGATGATGATGATGATGACGACGATGATGACGATGATAAATGAAGATGATTAATAGGAGGACTGGTGATGACGACAGCAAGCCATACACTGTTGACTACAGTGATTTAGAGCATATTTACGTAAACAAAAGATCTCAAACATACAGTATAAGATACATTGCTAAACAATTATTGAACTCTCTATGGGAAAAGTTTTATATGTGTTTCTCTTTCTGCCTTGATAATTAAAAACAAAATCTTTTTCATTTGAGAATGTCAGGCCATTGCGAACTTCGTCTTGTACCTTGACTGCTATAGACACTATTCTTGTATCACATCTCCACAATGTCAAGCTATTACGAACTGCTTCTTGACTGCAATAGTCTCATGGAACAGTCTTCATTTACCAACATGGTGCAGAAAAGTAGGACGTAAAACTCCATTCATTTCATTTTGTATCATGGTAGTTTGTAATACAGCGATTCCGTGATATAAGAAAGATGGCTATTGTAGTCAAGGTATAAGACATTGTGAAGATGATCTGTGTATAATCAATCTAAAACAATATGATTGTCGTTGAATGAAACTGTTTGTTTTGAAAGTCTAATAACATAAAAAAAATTAAAACTCTAATAAATCTAAAGGAAACAAATTTAAAGATTTCCCTGAAAGAAACTGCCTGTTTAGAAAGTGTCATGGCTTTATTAAAAAAAATTATATGAAATTTTCATAACAAAAATCGAACTAACTTTGTATTTTTGCTATTCAATCGATTTTGTTTTTGGAAAATTAATCATGATTGACATATCTGTTGGAATTTTTTGAATACTTTTAAATTGAAATGGCAAGTGTTTAATTTCACTGCCAGATTAGGAAAGAAAGAAAGAAAAAAAGAGAAAACTGATCTGATCAAGTTGAGAAACCGCAGGAATAGTTTGTTTTCAAAATACTACAACTTCATATAATCTAAGCAATTCCCTTTACTTGTAGAATTTCATTTTGATTGAAAACAGTGAACATTCTTTTTATCTTTTAACGTGTCATAATGTCCGTAGCTTTAATATTCAATATCAATCTTATTAAATACAGAAGTACTAAAAACCTGCAAAACAATTCTCTTACTCGAACATCTCGTTCAAAATTTGATAAAATCAGGAGTAAAAGTTGTATAGTAGTGACTTCTCCTTTCATTTTTCCCTTCACAAATTTTGCAAGATGACAGCTCACTAGTTTTATGTAATTGCGGGAATCACAGACGCCTGATTGGAGTTTGGAATGGTGTAAATTGATGATATCAATGTCCTTCAATACACGTACAAAATTTCAGAAAACCTTTTTACAATCCCTTAAAAAACTATACAAACATATGTATAAAAGTGATCATAATAAATATTTATACGTGTTACAACAACGTTTCTTAATGTTTCTTTAACAGGTTTAAAACTAAAAGCATAAAATCTCTTTATATCCTCGGGCTGTACAACCTTCATTATTACCTTGGTCTTAAACAATATTTTCTTAAAACATTGGATTCCTGATAATTATCATCACCGTTTTGAATTTAAACATTAAGAATCTCTTGAAAGACCGTGAAAATGTTTAAAATGAAAACATAGAAATTTGAAATTTAAGTACTTCATTAAAAGACAGGAAACAAGTTAAGAGATCTCGAGTCATTTCTTGTTAAATCACAAGACGAAAGAAGAGGGAAGATGAGAGCACCACCTTCGTAAATTGTGAAATATGGTGAACTAATTTTGTGCTACCTGCATAACAGAGAGGGAAGCCGTATTGAAAAATCTAAAGGTAGTATCTCAACAATTGCCAAACATAATATGATGATGTAGAATGAACGAATTTAGAGAAATCGATTTAAACAGTTTATAAAGCTAAGTTTATTGCCCCATAAGAGCAAGCGGAACAATACGAAAGTATTAATTTGACCTATGTCAAGATTGAACCCTGGACCTTGCCGAGTCTCGTCTCAGGATTTGCATCACTGACAGAGGGAAACTAGGTTTAAAAAACGAAGGCAATTTCTCCGCCTTGGTCGACCGTGGACTAGTTATGATCAATATACTTCCTCATATAAAATATTCTTTAACTGTTATCAATCTATTGCCGAATGTTTATTTTGGTTTTCGGGATTCTTTTTGCTGTTCGGATCGTTAGTAGGCCTACTTGTGTTTTTTATACGACCATGTTTTGTTCTACCTATGACTAAATGACGAGTCTGTCGTGTGCTCAGACAATTTGTTGAATCAATGAAACAGTGTTAATCTAAAATTATATTATATAATTATAACTAGCGAGGTAATAGAGCAGTAAGAATCAATGAATAATAAATATTAAAGCTATACTCAATATACAATAATTTATTTATTACTACATTAAATTAAATCAAATACATAGAATATAATAAATCAATTAAAAAACTGAACAATGGGAGAGTATAGTTAATATAGTCATGTCTTTAAATACTCCCTGCTGTAACCCATACAAATATACTGTATATGGCTTTAGTTTTAAACTTAGTTCACATTTATAACTTCACGTTAGCTTTAACCTTTAACCCTAACGTGTTTATATACCTCGCGTTAGCTTTAATATTTCTATAATATTAGATCTCTAACGTGTTTATAACTTCACGTTAGCTTTAATATTTCTATAATATTAGATCCCTGACGTGTTTATAACTTCACGTTAGCTTTAATATTTCTATAATACAAGATCCCTAACGTGTTTATACAATAGCAGAAATTAATTTCTATAAAACTATTATAATAATCAGAAAACAGGAGACAAAAATCACATTGATTATTTCTATCAGTACAGCTCGTCTCTTTTATCATTGACAGTTCTGTTCTTTGTTAAAATTATTGACAGATTCACATTCAGTTGTAATTTGAGTCGAGAACGAGTAATACTTTATCATTATTACAGTATGATAGGAAACGAGGTGCCACGGGTTCGAATCTCTAGCATGGAGAGTTAAAGACTAAAGGTTAATGTTGGTGATTAGTGGGAGCAAAATAGGGGAAAAAAGACGACTATTAGGTTAAAAAACATAAGGTTCTCGAAAGCTTACCCTTCTTCAAACCCCTTAGTTATTTTTTTACAAGGATAACAAATAATCTTTCTACCAGCTGGTTCTTGATCAAACGTCTTGACGTCCATCTTCCCAGATGAATTGTTGTTAACTCTTGAAGATAATTTTCATTTTGAATTGAGCTAATCTTAAATTGTGAGATATAAATCAAAATTAAAATGAGGTCAAAAAATAACGAGAGATTGAACCCCGCTAACTTAATTTCCGTTTTCCGTTTCAACACAAATAAAAGCCCCTTAAAAACTCGGGAATTTATGCCTTAACTCCATGGACAACTATATATTTCCGCAACAATTTTTTTTTTAAATTTCAACAAGTGAAGCCACTTCCGATCTGGCGATAAAGAAACACTCATAGAAATTATAGATGCCTTGTGGCCTTAAAGACACATAAATAAATCTCTCAATCTCAATATCAAGTGACGTCACTTCCGATCGAGCATAAACATTTCAAATGCCCGTGGCCTAAAGGACATTTGTGTGGGTATGGATAATGCAAGCAATAAACTCGTTAAACAATTTCAACAGTTGACGTCACTTCCGATACAGGATTAACCAAACACCATAAAAACATTGTAAAAATTACAAGTGCCTGTGCCCTAAAGTGACATTACGAGTGCCTTTGTGTTTGTGTGGACAATAAATTCGTATTATGGCAAATTATCTGAATGGAATT